CTTGTCAATAAACATTTGCACAAGATTCGACGTCGAATTGTTTGGTTTCTTTGTTTTCAAACCAATTTTGTTCCAGAAAAGAACATGGATTTTATTGTCACATTTTATATTCTTTGAGTTTTTATTCTCGTTTTTCACAATACAAAATGATTATAATGGATTCCGGAACTTCGCCAAAAGACTTTCGCCATTGGCGAATGTCCTTTTGGCGAAAATCTTATTGGTGAAGTTCCGGTAACCCGATTATAAGTGTCATTATAGAATGATATTGGACCAACCGACATATAAAATACTCAAAAAATTTATATTCTGAGACTGAATAATAGAATCCACATGAAGCAGCATAATATCATTGTGAATGGCTTTTCGGTTGTTATCTGCAAGCTTTTAGAATGATACATCTGTAGAATGTCAAATGATAATAATAATAATTATAAGAAATATTCATTGAGTCATTAATCAACTTTTCCCATTAGCAGATTTGTTCATGTCACAAGAATAACTGCCAAGATCTCACCATGATTTTTATATCGTTGTTTCAATGGTACAAATTTTTGCCAAATTTTTAGAATTTCTCTTATTTCAAAAATCAAAAAAGTTCACTCAAGGAATTTATTAAAATTTTGATACAAAAAGAAATTATTGTTTTTGCTTAAGTAACTATGAATAAAATGATTTTATCACTCTTTTAGTACTTTCTGTAATGTAACCATATATGCTTTTTATTTAGACTAAAAAAAGAACATTATTTGTTCAATGCAGTCAAATTACTCTCATCATTAATGATAATGAATGTTATCATGCTGAATGATCCACGTTTGAAATCCTAGTCACTTCTTTTTTTTCAGTGTTGAACATTTTCTTGTTTTTCAAGATGATTCTACGATAAGATCCATTAATCACATATTCTGGTGTTATTCAGAAGTTAAGAACAATAAATCATTAAGTCTACTCACTCATTTAACAATGATGTTAACGCGGAATTAGCGCGATTCTTTAAATAAATTTAGCTATCTAAGAATGACAATGTATAAGAGCTAGGTAAAGCTAGTACCAGATTTTAGAAGTGTCTGTCGAGACTCATTCCTTGAGCTATGCTATCGTTCAATGCGGTTGTGCTGAATGTAGAGCTTAGATATACACTGAATTCTAACATTACGGTATGGATGTACGTTTGAGTCAAAGTTGAAGCCAACCGAGCGGCCTTTACTGGTTCTTTTTCTTCTCATCAGCGTCCGCAAAAAGAAAGTGAATCAGTAAAGACCGGTCAAGCAGTTCAAACTCAGATATGAGTGTGGATGTGTAACTCTTTCATATTCACAATTACACATACACACAGTTTGCAACCATATCCTACACGTAACCACACCATGCACCTATACCCATACTCAATATCCTTACCCCACATCCAGACCCATTTTTCATTCAAATTTTCTTAAACGAATTACGTTCTATATACACTTCCATTGACCAAATCGCTAAGAATTAACTATCAAATTTAATCTTTTTATACAAAAGTAATAAAATTGTCAAATATAAATTAACCAAAAATTTAAAACATTATTTTACCTAAACTTAATTTTCTTCATGTTTACAAATGAGAAGTAGCCTGATAATGGAGTCTGGTCTGAGCTTTAAATATTTGAGATTGAAGAAGAGAGAAGAGGAGAATGGAGAAAACCAGTTCAATTGGCTTCTATGATTTTCAATGCTGTTATGAACGAGCTATCCATCCATATTGATTGCATTGACGGAAGACAAAGAGCAGCCAAATGAGCTTTTTACAGATGTGGAAAACTGTTGGTAAAAATTCGATGATGCATCAATGTCTATCACTAAGGAACGGCATTTTGTGACATTGTAACAATCAAGTATTCAAAATGAGGAAAGAACTCTAACCGAATTTTGTGCAAAAAAGTTTGACTTGAATTATGCAAGATCAACGAACACAATCGAGAAAACGAGTTAAATCGATATATCAACACTCAATGAAATGTATGCGAAACAGCTTGCGACACAAAAAATAAGAACGACAAATATCGAATGAAGAATTCCGATTCACCTAACATTTAGCATGAGTTGCTCTGATAAGGGAAGTCAGTCAACCGTTTAACAAGTAGAAAGTCGTGTATAAGACGTTCGTGGATAAATAGGAAAAAGTGTTTAATAGAATCTCATTGGGTAGTGATCCAAAGTCTTCCAGTAGGCTTCAACCCGTCATATCGTTCGCGACGTTGTCACAGAAAACGAGAGAACCACGAGGCAGTACTGTAGTTATTAAAACGATACTGTTTTGAATAGTAGTTACGTATATAATTTCTCGACAAATTTCCCAAGCGTAATGTGATTCAATGATAATGAAAGAGAAACAAACAGAGAAGCCACCAACAACAGACACCACAGTATATATGTGTGAAGTACTGGTGGCGATGACAATATTATTCAATTGATGGAGTATGCTTAAGAAAACGTTCATAAGAAAATCGAGGACGATCCTAGTACACGAAGCACTCGTCAAAATTTTAATTTTTGATTTTTTGTGTGTATTCGATGGACCATCATTTGAAACCACCAATCCTAAATTTAAAGCTCACTTGAATATTCCATCGAAAAGCTAGCTAATACCAACTTTTCAACACTGCCTACCTAATATGAAGAAAATAGTCAGAAGTTGTCCCATCAATGCCTACTAGGATTATACTTCAATAAATCAAAGAATTTTTTTATGTAATATACCAAAAGACAAACCATCAGCAGCTGAAGAAAAACGAGGTTTATAAAATATTGTACATCATCTATTTATTGTGGTTATGTAGTCCAACAAGGGCAGAAACTGACGCAATTTCATGAGTTAATGACGATCGGTTTTTAGCAGTATATTTAAGTTGTGGGTGTGGATATTAGTGAAGAAAACACCCACACCCTTGTGGGTGGGTGCGAGTGTTGTTGAATAGAAGGTCCACATTCTGCTCGCGCCCTCGTTGCAACAGGAAAGTTATCTTAACAAGTGCCAAACTCTTGTTACTATATTTTAATCATAATTAATAACACAATACAAACAAGCATCTTATGTTAATAGAAGATATCAAATATTTCTTGAGTTCTTCTTAGAAAATGCAGTAGCGAATTTTTGTATGAAAATTTAAGTCGGTCTATACATTTATTCGATCTTCGAATTGTGTATGTCATTGTTCCTTCTGCTTTCTTATACCTCGAACACGAGTTTCAAGGCTCTTGTGCAATATTGTGAGTGGCATTCAACGGTTTTTTATGATATCTGTCGACAACAAATGTGAGATAACAGTTGCGTTGTTTTCACTTTTTCTTTTAACGAACGGACAAAGTAGAATCTTTCTTTTTAGTGTCGCATGAAAGTGCAAAAGGTAAGCAAAGCACCAACTATATCAGGTTGATGTAAAAAAGGTGTCAATAAAATTGTTAGTTTTACAAAACTCGCTATCGCTCTGCCACATTTATATAACTATGATACTAAAAAATCACGCGACAATTAGAAGCAGCCGGAACAGTAAACATCATAAGTTGAGCTCCTCTCTGTGCTCTTGCGATTTTTTCCTTTAGTACGGCTTGCTTCTTTGTAGTGTTGTATTACATGAACAATAGAACAAGCAATCCATTAAAGTTAAGTCGCAGGCGCGGTGTTCCGTCAGGTCTCACTCTCCTATAAATATTTTTGGCTGATTTGATTTCAACATCTCAGTATAAATGATAATGTAAAACTGATCTCAGCCGGAAAAGTAGACACGTATGTGGAGAGAATCTTTTTGATTCTTGTGTGAAGATCTCATCGGTCACAAATATTTCCCCGTGATATACAAGTATGCATAATGTACTATCAATCTAATAATTGACATCCTCAGGAAGCAATAGCCTGCTACTAATATCACTTGTCTGTAACGTTTATTCCATTTTTTTACTTAAAAGTACTTTTGATTCAAAATACTTCTAAAAGTCGTCAATAGTTAGAAATTTTGACCTTTGTGCTTCAAGAGAAACTATACAAAAGCATTGGAATGACACGTATGCATAGGTTATTAATCGCGCTCTCTAACGAAGTCTTCGAGAGATATAAGATATTTCGGAAACAACAAACAATAGATCATTTTTGTCAGGATTCGACAGTGAGTTATTTGAATCCCATATCTCTAATTCTTCATAAAAACCTTGAAAAGCCCTAATATTTTCATATTTGAGTACGACCATCGAGGACTTCCAAACCAATTAAAAACTGTCCCGGCGCTGACATTGGATGAATTGAGCAAAGTCCAAATTGTTGTATGTAACCGATATATATTGGTCTTTGCTGGTCCTTTTTTAGATTCCCTGTTCAAGACTATGATACGTCTATTGATAATATGTTTAACATTATATACTTGTAAAATTGTAAGTACCAATGATTATGTAATATTCTGCCATAAAATAAACTTGTGTGTGCTTTGTAGAGTACATCATCAACACAATCAATTACACGTAACTTTTCTATTGTTGGTAATGATTTTATGAAAGATGGACAACCATATCGAATCATAGCTGGAAGTATACACTACTGGCGTAGTTTGCCACAAGTAAGTTAATAAATATGGACTTACCATAAAAGTTCCATTTCTCATTGTAAATACGTATGTTCATATGGGAAAATGATCTATTTAAAACTATATACAGTTCTTACTAAGCTGATTTCTCAGAATCAATAATAGCAGTGTCAGTTCCCAAGTAACTGTTTACCATGGTGAGTTACTTATCATGCTGTGCGCACATCTTGAAAAAGCAACAAAATTTATGAGGATTATATATTTTTCTGAGTTCCATTCTGTTAGATTCCTTTTAAAATATGTCCCGTATTTTAAACCCTTTTGTAAAAACAAAACACCTATCTAAGGTCGATCGTTTACCTTTCATCTTATGACTAATCAATTTTGCTTATCTCTTTAATTTTGATCTTTGCTGCTCATTAAACCTGTAAGTTATTTTTTGTTTTACGATAATTTATAAGTATGTTCATTCAACTAATTCATTTCATCTACTTCCAATATTTTGGAACATGTTGTACACAACATTACATAGCTAAACAAATTATTCTGTTCGATATTGAAATTTCAGCCATTCTGTTTTCTCAGATATGTGAATGTTTATGAAAAAGTCTAAAAGGAAATTGAATTATCGAAGGATTTTTCTGCGAATGTGATATTCTGCAGAAGTGCGCACTTGCACATTTTATGTATATGTTGTTGTTGCGAATGCATCACTAGTGAAGAATAATGTTTTTTACAGTCATGTGAAACTGAATGAAGGTTGTAATGTCCTATTCACACTTGAAACTAAAAAATTTCTATAAAAACTGCTGAGCTCTTTTTAGTTCCATGTAGTATCTTATCTTTTACTAAGTAGGTTCTGCTTGAATTTGTTTATATTGTCATATTACTGTATTGAGAGATCGCATATCAAATTGTCTAGGAGCTTGTTGCTGATTGTGAAAAAATGTTTTTATGGTCCATTTCTATACGCTTTTGTACTATAGAAACTTGCAGATAATACGAAAGGAAGAGGAAATAAATTCATTGTGCCACAGTAGTTTACATTGACAACTGCGTTGGTTGCATTATCGCGTTAAGAATTTTCACATTGGCTGGTTTAGTATCTATAGCTATAAGGTAGCCTATGTCTAATTGACTTTTGCATTAGAAAACAATATTTCGAGGTTATCATATTCTATTGGTATCAGCCATATCGAGTTAGTCCATTGCATCCTTTTAATTTTATGAACCGAGAATTCTTGTTGAGGAAGCGAATAATAATTGTATGTCAAAACTGAGTATTCTACATGTAGTATTATATTTCAAGATTAATTTAAGTTACATTACATTTATTCAGGATTGGAAAGATCGGTTGACTTTGATAAAAAAACTTGGTTGTAATACAATAACAACGTATATTTGGTGGGCATTACACGAACCAGAAGATGGCACATTTGTATTTGATAAACCAGAATATGATTTTATATCATTTATTCAATTAGCACAGAGCTTAGATTTGTTAGTTATTGTTCGTGTTGGACCATATATAACAGCTGAAGTTGATTTAGGTGGATTTCCGTATTGGATTATGAAACGACAACATATTGCTATACGTCGTCCGAATGAAGTGTACTATCAATTAATCGATCGCTATTTTGATCAATTAATTCCACGTTTAACTCCATTACAATACCATTTAGGTGGAAGTATTATTGATTTTCAAGTAGAAGATGATTCTGACGTACCATTTATTAGCTTTGATGATACGCATTCCTATTATGGATATTTACGTGACGGATTAATAAAGCGAGGAATCAAAAGTTTAATAAGTACGCTTGCTGCACCAAATATCATATCATTAAGAAAAGCTATCATACCGAACACGTGGACGGCATTGGAATATCAAATACAGCATTCAACACCAGATGCATTAGCCCTGTTACGAAAACATGCAGCAGATCATAATCCATTCATGGTTATGGAATACTATCCGGGATGGATCGATTATGAAGGACAATCACATCATACAATAGATAGTGAACAATTTGCGAAAGGTGTCGATATTATTTTCTCGCTTAATGGATCGGTTAATTTTTATATGGTATTTGGTGGAACAAATTTTCAATTTACCAATGGTGGTGATCGTGTACTAACATACCATTCAGTAATAACATCTTACGATTATGATGCTATGATTATAGAATGTGGCGATGCACATCAAACTAAATTTAAAGCTGTACGTGATGTGATTGGAAAATATGTTCCACTGCCACCAATGCCGACACCATTACCATCACCCAAAGGTTTGTACGGAACAGTTCAGTTCAATTCTCGCGCTGAATTAATTGAAAATCTTCATCCTTTCAATGTCCTTCACAATATTGATGTACCGATTCAATTTGAATATCTCAATCAAAGTTACGGCTATATACTCTACTCCACACAGTTAACAGAATTTACTGGCCCACCTGAGACTTTATTATTACCGTGGATGCAGGATCGAGCTGTTATCTTATTAGATGGTTTGCTGCAAGGTATTATTGGATGGACTGAAACAGATCCGATAGCATTAATTAATTTGCATCCGATAAAGACGAGTCCCAACCCACGATTAGATATTTTGGTTGAAAATAAAGGACGCTGTTGCGGTGAAATACCAGATTTGGGATGCAGCTTCAAGGGCATGAAAGATAAACCTTGGCTAGGCTTAAAACAATTAGGCAACTGGACAATAACCAAATTACCAATGGATGATCAGTTGAGTCAGCAATCGACTACATTTAATTGGCAAACCATACCCCCAGGAACTTCGGTAGTATCACCGTCATTCTATCGAAGCACATTTACAATTAACATGTCACAGCCGTTACATTCGTTTCTTGGCACGGATAATTGGGGACACGGCTTTATAACAATCAACGGATTTAATCTTGGCCGATATAGTGAAAAGGGACCACAACGTACAATGTATATACCAGCACACATTTTAAAACAAGGTGCCAACGAAATTTTGGTATTTGAAAGTGATAGACGACAACCATCATTCAGTATGGGAGAAAGAAATATGACATTCATGGATCATCAACTTTGGACTAATTAACTTAAATAAGCTAGAACAACGCAACATGTATATCAACATATTTTACTAAATTTTTACACCATTTTCTATTTGCAAATCGTTTGACTGTTCTCATGTACTACATGTTCAGAAAGCTAAACTTCTAAATTTCAACTAGAAATGGCGGTCAATCATGGAATGGATGTAGGTGTGGCTGTGGCTGTAAGTATAGGTATCGCTGTGGATAAATACAAGAGCCACATCCACATCCAATTCTAAAAGGTACAAGCGAAATACACTGAAGACAAAAGAGTGCGCTTTTTTCTGGTGTATTTGATCAAGACTCACATGTGAGCATTAAAAAATGCTAACTTCAGACCATCTTTTGTAGATGTTGTAGAGAAGTGTGGAGGGTGTCATCTTGTAGAGAATTTGATTCTTTACAAAAGTAATAATGATTCAGAGCTTTAAACTTGTGCTTTAGTCGAAAAAAAAATTAAATTCAAAAATCGATAGCTTATTACAAACGAAAACTCTCAAAGATTCATCATCAAGCAGAATTTATTTTTGCATAAAAATTATACAATTTTGTTCAGTTTTTGAGACTCTTTCTTATGCACTAGGTCGTTTGGAGACTGATTGGATTACTCATTTTTGCATACCATTATTCATTGCCACCAATCAAAACTAAGTTTTAAAATTACGGTTTGATGAGGGATCAAAAGTATTATTTTTAATTGTAGAGCGAAAAATTCTACATCGATTGATGTATGCTTCAATTTTTTTAAACGAAATTACTAGGTCAAAAAATACGAAATACTAAAAGCGCCTTAAAATTATGTCCGCTGGGACAAAATTATTTTCACTGTAACTCAGTGAAAACATAGCTGATTTTGAAAAATTTTTCAGGTTACATAGTCCTTAACAAGGTCTCTCTTAAACTGAAAAGAATCAAGTCTTTAGCTATATATTCGGCTGAGTTATAGCAAAAACAAAAATGTCTTAAAATAATGTCCACCACTTTACATGATAAAAAATATTAGCAGTTCATACATATAAGTCGACAATCAAATGAACATTCATTATATTCTTAAAATGCTCCATGATCCCAAGTACAAGGTGTGATCAATAAATTCTTACTTATCCTTGATTTAAAACTCACAATTAGCTTTCAAAACTAGCTGTAATCAAACAAGTAACGCAGCGCAAACGCTGCTTACTCTCGACTGAAAGAAAGGGTCGTCATTAGAGTCCGTAGAGTTCTCTTGAAGGGATCTAGTCAGCATTCATTATATGATATTAGATCCAAAAATTTGAGTGCCAACGTCAGAAACCAAAATGTACTGCCAACGAGATGAATGTGAAGATCATTGACGCAAGTATGGGAATTTGGTCACTCCTTCTTTTTTAAGAAAAACAAGTTAGAAATTAGTAAGTCACAGTGGTGTAGGTTATTTTCCTCTTTGTGCTCATTTCAGGTATCCAAACGGATATTAATGTCAAATATACGCATAGTGGCGAGTACGAGTGTGTATTTTGATGTTGGTCTTGGTGTCACGGCCTTTGAGGATATACACACCAGTGTGATTCTTCTTACTATCAACTGAACCAATGATGCGGATGATCATACGCCAATACCTACAACCAACTTCTCACAATTCACAATCTCCCAATAGTACCAATCCCATATACACAGGGTCAAAATACCATAAAAAGTAGAAATCATATTAAGTAGTTTCTGTATGTCGATACGGATACTAATGGATACGTGAGTGAACACAGGCATGAACGGAAATCCATATAATCAGTTTATTTCATATGATCCGCCCTTCAATCGAGAAAATACAGTTTCTTTAATTGATACTTTACGTCAAACATACTTTGTAAGTGCTTTACTTCTACAGAAACATCGTATTCCAAACTGAATTTGGAGAAAAAGTTCCAGCCTTTCAATATTTTCCAACACTGTTTCAAGAGACCGAACCAAATCACTAGATTATTTCGGTGGATGGCAACTTCCTGTAACGTTTCTTCGATGAACCTTTCATATCAGCAGTCAGTTGTTCGTCGTTGCCTCTTTTTGGATGCCATGCCTTTGTATAAAGCCTGACGGGTCAGTGATTATTTAAAAGTATAGCTTTCTTTGTTGTTTTTTATTGAATTAAATATAAATCAATCTATCAATCAGAAAAAAAATCAACAAAAACAAAATTTTTATTATAAAAAAATAAAACAATCATCAGACAAAAGAAATTGAATAATAATCAAACAAAAATTTTTTCATTATTCTCAATTAAATTGTTTCGCACAATGAACATGAACTTGACTACCGTCTTGATAAACAATACATGATGTTTCATAAAATTGTTTCAAACAATGTTTACATCGTCGATATTCATTTATAATTACATTTGAACATTTTAATTTTGTTAACTTTATATTTAATTTTTCATTTTGTATTCGATTTAAAGCTATTTCGAGTTTTGTTGAACGTTCTACATATGAATATGTACGTACAGCTCGTAAAAGAATATCTTTTAATGATAAAATTGACCAATGAGATGGTAAACGTTTTAAAATTTCAATAAAATCAACTTCAATTTCATTATTACAAAGAAGATGAAGAAGTGCTTCGGTTATTTCATTTGGATGTCTAAATGAAAAACAATTGAAAAAGTAAGAATTCCTTTTTTATAAATTATAAACTTACTTATCTAATGAAGCAAGAAAAACATTGAATAAAGCATGAGCAACAATTTTTCGATCGTCAATTGATTTGTCATGTGATAAAGCAACACAATAATTTTCTGCATATTGAAAATCTTCAAGGTCATTAACAAGTATTTGAAATGCTTGTTCGAAATTATTCATCTAGAAATTTGTATATATATTAAAATTAAAAAGAAAACTTTGAATATATACTTTGCCATAAAGAAGAGCAAGTTCACGTTTGAATCGTTTCGTTTGATTGATTCGATTAAGAACCGATTGAATTCGATAGGAATTAGATTTAACAAGAAATTCTTGTAATTTAGTTCTATAATTATGAAGAATAAATTTCACCGAAAAACAAAGAATTAGTATCGAACCGAATTGGTTCATTATCGTCAGAAGATTTGGACAAAACTTGATCGAGATAGATATTCACCAACATTGTATGAATATCATCAGTCTAAAATGATCAATAGATTTATTAGTTTGATTGTATTGAAAAATTGAAGAAAACTTTGCTGTTATTCTACTTACAACCTGATGTAACAGTGTTTGTGCCTACAAACACGAAAACTTCACCAAGTTTTATGCTAATTTTTATTCTGCTGTTCTCTCTGTCGGGTTTTGAATAAACCCCTCTTCCCGGATGGTCAGTTTCCAAAATTTTTGTAGAAAGAACCCATTTGCTCAAGTATACTGTTTCTTTTTGTATTAAAAAATGGATGTAGATGGTGCATCATACAATTGTGAGAAGTTACTCTTTTCGAAATGCTGCTCAAAACCAATTTTACTTGAAAACATCGTGAAAAACGCTCGAATAGGGACAAAAGAATCCTAACGAGTTCCAAACGACCAGATGCGTCTGACCCGTCTCCTCCACCTTTTCCTGAACACCCTTTATGGATGGCTTTCAAGTGTTTTCGAACTATTCCACCAGTAAAGTTTTTCGCAGATTTAAGTCGCTTATGCAAATCTTTGGACCTATTTTTCAATAACAAATCTACATCCGAATTCTATCTGAAGAAAACCAGAGTGAAGAAGTGTTAGCGCTTACTAATGATGAACAAAATCGACATTATCCATGTTTGATCTTTATTTTCATTGTCTTCATTTGTTACTAGAATGAGTAGTAGTCTTTTTTAATAAAATTTCAAAAGCTGAAGAAGAACAAATTCAAAACATAATGATCTTCTATTCTCGTAAAGCTACAAAAATATTATTTATTTATTTTACGACAGCAACAATATAAATAATAATATCAAAAGAATTTATTCAGTTCTCAAAATTAATTAATCAGCTTACTTCAATCATTAATTTAAATACAGCCTGTTCAAGATAATTTCTTAATGCTATTGGATATGATTTTAATAAAGTAGTAACTTTATTTGAATTGAATGGATCATGAATCGATTCATTTTGATATTTACCAATAAATATCTAAAAATTAATATTTTCCTATTTTGTTTAATATCAAAGAAAATATTCTTTCAAACTTTTATTGCAAGTTCTTCTTCATTTTGTTCTAATAACCATTTTGCAACAGAAAATTCCAATGATCGACTAAGATTTCTTTCAAGAATATATTTAGCAATAATCCAAATACCAGGAAATGTCTCATCATTAGAATATTCATTCAAGACAATTCTACGCTAAATGTAAAAGAGAAGAAAGAAAGAAAATCTAAGTTATTAAAAATCAGAAAAAACAAGAGAATCCATTACTTTTTCCAAATATCAATTGTTTGTTCATGTTTATCATGTGCAGAATAAAGTATCGCTGCACCGTGATAAAGTTGAATATGAAAAAGTAAATTATAAAAATCAATTGAAATATATGAAGCATATTTTTCAAGAAATTCTATTATTGTTTCAGGTGATTTTATAATTAAATAAGCTTTTAATAACGATGAATAATAATCCTTTAAAAAATAAAAAATAAATAAACTTCTGTTTCATATATTACTTTTTAGGGAGGAAACGAACACTTGCTCACTGTGAAAACTTTTACCAGAAGTCTGAATAATATAACGAAATAAAATGATACAATAAAATAATTTCTTGTGAGAAATTAATCATTATCATAATGAATTGATTGATTCAATTATTCCAATGTTTGTCAAATTCATTATTTTAATTAAAGATGTTCAGGGGAGAGTGTGCGTGTGCATTCGACGAAGAACAATATATTTTTAATCACATAGTCTTGCTAATTTATACTTCGCGAGTAGAAATATGTGAGAACAAGTTTATTCGGTCACAATTTCGGTCTAGAGAAAATTATTCCAAAATATATTCGTATCACATCTAAAAAACTTCTTCAACACTTTTTTT